AATGATGAAAAAGGGGTCCCTATGTCCTCCAGCAGTCTAAGCCTATAGCAGCAGAACTATAGAGATAGAATGAAGCAGAATGATGAAAAAGGGGTCCCTATGTCCTCCAGCAGTCTAAGCCTATAGCAGCAGAACTATAGAGATAGAATGAAGCAGAATGATGAAAAAGGGGTCCCTATGTCCTCCAGCAGTCTAAGCCTATAGCAGCAGAACTATAGAGATAATTCCGGACTGTAACTATCCTCTTCATAAACAAGCTGTAGATCTACAGGTGGCACCTCAAATTTCTCATATGCGTAAAAAACACTTTGCGATAAATCTTTTCTGATTCTAATAATTAAGACTTTTTTTTTTTATCAAAGTGGTAGAAATTGGCTTCCATATATTTGAGACATATTCCTGTCCAATTAGAGCAGCATAGATCTACACCAGTTAGTCATGAAACATTGGAAAGCATCTAGGGATAAAATAAGATAATTTATCTTTAACCGTGAGAAGGAACTTTTCACATCTCAGTAAACGGGACCAAAGGTCAGGTCTGCTTCAGATTTGGGATGAAGAAGATGTCGCAGACTGGACCTAACACGAACGTCCTGAAGAGTCAAATCTCTGAAATTTGCTCAACCTTCTTCCAGGCTTTTCCTTCCATAAACAGTCAAACGCGTGGATTTCCCACAATGCAACGGATGAAGACAACGGCCAATACAGGAGTAATGGTTTAAAGACTTCACTCACCCTCCATAAAGTAGGGCTCTGGCTCCAGCCTCCACAGAACCTGTCCCTTCTGGGTACCATTCACCCCGCGGTTCTTGGACTCCCAGACGTTGGCCACGCTTGTTTCATCTGTGGAAACACGTCAGGAATCATTCCATCTTTTCAGAATTCAAAGTATGTTTGTTAAGATGTAGCCATACACTTGAAGGCCATGCCCTGCTCTACTCTTTATTTATGTAAAGGCAGCTCAGAGGGCACCCTTGTACTCCCATTGGCTCTAAAGATGTGCTTTATGTCCATATGATTCAATTCCAGGTTGTGGAAACAGAAAACAAACTGCTTCATATTTGGACTCGGACACCTTGATAAACTCAAATTTTTCCGTCTACCTTCAGATCTGGGCCAAGACCAGGGCGGCATTGTTCGTAGATCAGACTATGGCATTTAACTCACTAAGAAGAGGGATTGCATGTCTCCCTGTTGGGTCCATCTCTACGTTTTAGATCCCAGTGATGCGGGTTTGGTAAAAAGGAGATTCAGACTACAGATTTTGAGGGCATGGGCAGTTCTAGACAAGGGCAAAACGGGGGCATTGGTGTTGCAGAACTGTTCATTACACCTATAGAGGCCTCTGTATTGAAGACATAATACTAAATACAATTCTCACTGTCTGAAAATAAATCCTGGACATCATGATTGGTACCTCAGATGGTTCGCCTTTGGGTCAAATTTCCAGGTACCTGGAGGTGAAATAGTTAGATAGCGACCGGGAGGCATCAGGGACAGAAGTCCGAGCCTCCTCAGTTAGCTCCTTTCGATGTGGAGGAGCAGTGACTCTACTCTGAGCTCCTCCTGGGTAACTGAGCTTCTCACCTGATCTGGAAGGGTGCGCCCTGCCACCCTGCGAAGGAAACTCATTTCTTCTGCTTGTGTTCGCGATCTTGTCCTTTCGGTCATTACCTAGATTTCATGACCATAGGTGAGGGTGGGAACATAGATGGATCAGTAAATCGAGAGCTTTGCCCCCGGACTCAGCTCCCTCTTCACCATCACAGTTCGATACAGCGACCGCATCAATGCCGATCGATGCCGCACCGATCCATCTATCGATCTCACGCTCCATCCGTCCCTCACTCGTGAACAAGACACTGAGATACTAAAAGTCCTCCATTTGAGACAAGGACTGACCTGAAGAGGGTAGTCCACCTTTATCCGGTGGAGAACCATGGCCTCGGATTTGGACGTGCTGATCCCCATCTCGGCCGCTTCACACTTGGTTGCAAACTGCTCCAGTGCACGTGAAACACACGTCAGAGCAAAATTTAAAGACCTCACTAAGGTGCTGTTGAAGCTAGTAGGGAGCCGTTATTCCCAGTGAAACCAGTCCAGAACCAACATTGGCTCTAAGGCGACTCGGTGAGGAAGAAGCCATGGGTTCAACAGCCACAGAGGAGTGGGCTGATTTAGCTGTAAGTCAAAATATCCGTTGGATAAACAGGGGGACATAATGGTGCGTTTTTGCATAAAACTCCATCCTCTGACATTAGGCAAGGAATTTGCACGATGAGCGACGGTGTGAATTCACACGGCAGGATAATGGCTCCTCTGTATTCAAATCTACTGGATGTTGGTTTCCCCTCAACATGGAAGATGTTGATTTTACGCAGTGCTTTAAGGACTATGGAAAGCCGCCAGCAGGTCCTTAAGAGACCCTGCCGGCTCAGAGAGTCTACAAGCTATGGCATAATGGCCGCCTTCCAGGGGAGTTTAAAGTAAGGTCAGATGGTTACAGTGCTAAGAAAGGAGGACAGGCATACACTATACCTACATCACTGTACTCAACTGTAGCTCAAACTGTACGAAGAAAACACAGGGTTTAAAAGTTCGCAGCTCAAAATGTTTGTTCTTCCACAGTACGGCCCAACGCTCTGATGTCATCTACTTGCTCAAACTGTACGTCTAAAAACCATACGTCGAACTTAGTGCCGAGAGATGTCGCTGGTCGGACTTGTTCATCTGGAAGAAGAAGAACAACAACTCCCTTGTTTGCACATGCAGAGTGCCCAAGAATCTGGTAAATCTGCTCATAGACGCTCGTAGCTCTGTTTCAACTGCAGGACTTTACGACTGAATTTCAAACATGTTTAATTTTCTCCTGAACTTACGATTCCTGATCGGGAGGTGGTCGTGAGAGGCTAATCATCCCTCGTTACACCCTGTACACTACAATACTTGGCCAGATTGAAAAATTCAAGCACGACTGGGGAATCGGCCAAAAAAGGGCAAAAAAATTGCACAGTGTATGCCTGGGGATGCACTGTACGATATTTTCAATCTTCATACTTAGCTACAGCTGTATGACGAAACCGCAGGGTTTAAAAGTTCGTAGCTCCCAATGCATGTTCTTCACTGCATGGCCCGGCACTCAGATGCGATCTACTGTCCCTCGTTACACCCTGTACACTACACGACACAAACGCACGATGAGGCTGAAACTCGGCCCAATCCAAAAAGTTCTTGCACACCCCACTCTGTCTTAACGCTACCTCAGAGCAGGAATATATAGTGTGGGGAGAGTTATAGCTATCAAGCACTAGGTGGCAGCAGCATGTTGTGTTGATGGGACTGGTGCACTTCACAAAATGGATTCAACAATGTAGAGAGAACATAATATGGATAAATAAAAGCAACATCAGAAGATTAAACCAGAGATTAAACCATGGGCACAATCAGGTCTTCCAGATGGACAATATCTCCCAATGAGCCATCGAAAAAGTGACAACGTGGCTTAAGGACAACAGAGTCCATGTTTTAGGGTCTCGGAGTCTTGGTCTCAGACTCGGAGTACATCAGTGACCAGAGAACTTGGAGGCCTAAGACCCCGACCCAGGTCCAACAGTTCAGTCCAGATGAATCAACTTCCAAAAAACTAGCAGAAGATTTGCCAATAAGAAGAAACTTTGTTGAAACAGTCTGACTTTCAATATTGATCAAATTCAGTAGCTCACCGATGTGGTACAGGCCGATCCAGTCTGTGGCGTCCACCTCCTCCTTTATGTCCCACGAGATCACCAGGTGGCCTTGGCCTAGAGTCAGCTGGTAGGTGGAGGCGGTGAGCGAGGAGCGGCTTTCAGAGGTCACCAGGTCCGTGTCGCTATTGGCCCGCTGGAGTCCCATCCCGGCTGATTCTGGTTGGGCCCCGGAAGAGGAGGAAGCCGATGACGACGAGGACGTTGAGGACACGGATGCAACTTGCACAGACAGACTGCCCAAGTTGTCCGGCCCCACCGTGTATGGCCGACTGTGCGGGGTGCGGCGCCTCACCGCCTGCAGGTGCTCGCGGGCACTACCGTTGGGTACCGCGGATGCTTGGAGCGGTGGCGAGGAGGAAGAGGCGGTAGCAGCCGCCGCCATCCCCGTGGCCGAGGCGTAGGAGAAAGTGGGAGGTGAGGAGAGCTGGTGGAGGTGGGGAGATTGGGGGCTGTGGTGATGATGAAGAGGGGAGGACGGGGCAGAGGAGTTCAAGGGTGACTGGGGACGGGGGTGAGGGGGGAGGACCGCGGTTGTGAGGGATGGGCGAATGGTGGAGGTTGGCGGAGAAGGTTCAAGAGAAAAAAAGAAGTCTTTGGTGCAGACAGAGAGGAGTTCTCAGGTTCATCTCATTCAGATGGTTGAATGGAGAAAACCTCTAATGAGTTCTTATCCAAAGCTTCATGTCAGTTTGTCTAGAACTGTTCCACTGTCATAAACCTCTGGGAGTCAGGATCCAAACTGTGGCATTCCTTAGCTCAGCAGGTGTGTGACTCCACCAGAACTCCATCATGGCGTAACAAGGAAGAGGCAGGAGGGGTAAGAACTAAAGGAAGGAGAGAGGACGCATCAGTTAGTCCATTCATCTGTCCAGGTGGACGGAGACGACAGGCGAATAACCCGCTGAGAGGAAAGGGCCCAAACCTACAGGAGAAAGATAAGAGGGAGGAAGGAGAAGAAAGATGGTCAGAAATCATCATTTAAGCTCATTTTCATTATGACCTGCTGGTATTCAAAAAACAAAAAAACAGTACAACTACGACGGAATATTAGCCTAGCCCTTCCTAGCCTAGCCGTAATACTACATCGTAGTATTTAGTTGAGTTTGTGTTATTTTTTATTCTTCCTCCCCCAAACGGGTTTTAGCTATAAGGTTTCCAGGGCCAGCATAGACTCCTTCTTTTAATCTGGTTATTTTTGTCCATAGGAACTTGTGAACTGAATAAACTGAGTGAAATCCATCCATCTCTGTTTATTTAACTGGGGTGAATAGTTGAATACTTTTTCCCAACTACAGAACCAAAGCATGAACTGAAAAACAACAGTTCTATTCCTTATGTATTCCTTATGGTTGTTTTAACATAACTAAATTTTTCTTGTTGGGATCTGGAGGTCTGTCTACTTTTCTCCACCAGAGGGCGTTCTAGGTCTCCTGGAGCTGGAGCTGACTGCACCACCTGCGGCTCGTTTGCTCATCAGGAGACCAGTACTTAAGGAGGCGGAGAGCTACACTCTGACGCCAGAGTGTTTGCCAGTTATGGTTAGCAAGCCTGAACAGAACATCCGCACAGAACAAGAAATTCTCAGACCGCAAATGACGCCCTGCTCCCACCTACACTCCCGGTCAACAGGTTTGGCTGTCCACTCGAGACATTCCCCTCAAGTCCATGTCCCGTAAACTCTCTCCTAGGTTCATCGGGCCATACAAGATTGAGTCTGTTATCAACCCGACTACCGTCCGCCTGCATCTGCCATCTTCACTCCGAATCCACCCAACATTCCACGTTTCCCAGATCAAACCTGTTCTGACCAGCCCTCTTTGCCCTCCGTCCGACTCCCCTCCACCCGCCCGGGACATTGATGGTCACCCTGCCTTGACCGTTCGCCAGATCGTGGACTCCCGTCGCCGGGGCCGCGGTTGGCAGTACCTGGTCGACTGGGAGGGCTACGGTCCGGAGCGCACTTGGGTTCCTGGATCCTTCATTTTGGACCCTGCCTTGATCGATGAGTACCATGAGTCTCTGCCATCTACTTCTTTTGGACCACCAGGAGGCGGTCGTTGAGGGGGGGGTACTGTTGGGATCTGGAGGTCTGTCTACTTTTCTCCACCAGAGGGCGTTCTAGGTCTCCTGGAGCTGGAGCTGACTGCACCACCTTCGGCTCGTTTGCTCATCAGGAGACCAGTACTTAAGGAAGCGGAGAGCTACACTCCGACACCAGAGTGTTTGCCAGTTATGGTTAGCAAGCCTGAGCCAACCTGCCTGTCTGAATTTCTGACTTCCTGAAAACCTGAACCTAATCTGTGTTGTCCTCTCTGCTTCCCAGGTTGAACCTGCCTGAAACCTGAAACCCTGAAGAGTTTCTCTGCTGGAAATCTGTCAGTCTGATCTCTGAAGAACCCTGGAGAATCAAACCTGTCAAAGACCTGCCTGCCCGCTCTCATTAGAATCTGAAAGGGAAACTCAAACTTGTTGCCTGCAAACTCTCAAACCAAGCTCTGCCTCCGGCAAGCCCTCAGCCTGCCGACAGCCTCTGGACCCTCCTGGTTCCCCCTCTCTGCCGCTCTGCTCAAACTCCAGATCAGGTACAGACCTGCACTCTCTCACCCTGCAAATTACCTGGACTTTAGCTAACCACTCTGTCCCCCTCTGCAGTGAACCCAGTCGTGACCAGTCCTGGATCTGATAACTCCTTGGATCTATTCTTTATTCAACTGTGTTGTTTCAATAAATCTTTGAACTTTTTCTCCTGTGTCTGTGTGTTCTGCATGTGGGTTAGAAACCTTAAACCAAACATGACATTTCTATCCTTAAACAAATGTTATAATCAGATAAAGTAAATCAGGTCCCACTGAATGTCTAAAAACATAAAGAAAAGTCTTAATGTGATAAATGATCCTTCCCTTTGTTCAAGGATGAAGTCATTGTGGTTATTAATATTTTATAGTTCATTTTCAGCAGCTATTAAACACATGAACCCAGCGGGTAAAAATAGCACGCAGCCGACCAGCAGCGAACTGATATGTGGATGCGTCGTAACGTCATATCAAAGTGTGCTTAACAGCTGTGGCTTTATTTTCTTTTTCTAAAAATAACGACACGCCAATGAAGTCCGATGGAAGGTTTAGCATCAAGATTAATCCAGGGAAAGGAAGGGGAGATTTAATCTGGACAGAAGGTTGTTTTTCCTAATCCACAGCTTCACCACCCGGCTCTGCTTACATCCAGCTTTATATATTGATTTTCAGGAAAAATCGGATTGGATGTCGCTGGTCGGACTTCAATGGGAATATTTATATGGCAGCAGATAAAACCCTAAAATCTTCATATAAACTTATATGAACATTTTTGTATTTTCAATTCATTGAAAAATAAAGCAAGTTGCTGAGATTTTATGAATAAAATACATTTTTATGTTTTTCTCACTTTTTACTAAATACTTAGTTTATTATTGTCATGTATACAGAAGAGGATTAGGGCCACTAAAAAAAAATTTAAAAAGTTAACTGTTTTTAAATATTATTTCAATTTAATATGGGAAAAAAGTCAGAATTCTGACTTTTTTTTCTCAAAATTCTAACCTTAATCTCAGAATTATGACTTTTTTTGTCAAAATTCTAATCTTAATCTCAGAATTCTGACTTTTTTTCCTCAGAATTCTCACTTAATTCTCAGAATGGGCTCTATGCACAGCTCCACTACTTCCTGAATTTAAGGCAGCTCCTTTGTTTCCTGTCTTTCATTACTAGACGAACTGATTAATCCAGGTGTGTCTGGCCAGTTACTTAGGTCATACACACCTGGATTAATCAGTGCATCCAATCATGAAAGACAGGAAACAAAGGAGCTGCATTAAATTCAGGAAGTAGTGGAGCTGTGCATAGAGCCTATTCATGATTTAATCATAGAATTCTGACTTTTTTTGTCAAAATTCTAACCTTAATCTCAGAATTCTGACTTTTTTTCCTCAGAATTCTCACTTGAATCTCAGAATTCGTGATTTAATCTTAGAATTCTGTCTTTTTTCTCAGAATTCTGACCTGAAAATTATTTTTTTTTCTTCTCCAAAGGATTCGGTTTTAGTCGCTGTTTAAGTTTTATAAATTAACTGTGGGTCTGGTTGTATCTAAATTATTATTTTTTCAAGGATCAGCCCCAGTTAAACACTAATACTGATGAAAAGCTTTGTTTTAGGCCATCGTCTGGCAGTAATGTGAAGGAAATTCTCTCCACATTGGGTCCTGATGAACTTTCTGTTTGGACTGCCCTGCTAAGCCCCGCCCACCGCGTCCTGAAATAGCCATTAGCGTGATTGAAGAACAATGAGGCGGCCTGGTGAGAGACACCAGCTTCCTGTCCCCCAGCAGGACGGTGACATTCCTGTGGCTCCGCGTGGGTTGGGGCCTCCCCGCCGTTCTTCCTCACTTTCTGCCCTTTTATTTTCCCTCCGTTCCTCAGGATGTCAGACGTGATGATCAGCTGAACCCAGAGACGCCATGATGGCTCTTTATGGGGTGCCGTTTGTGAAAAATCACAAGCAATATTATTTACTGTTTAATAGGAGCAAATTAGGGGAGTTACTTTTTCACTATGTCATTCATTCATTTATAAAAATCAAAGTTCTTAACTCAATTTTTATTATTTTAACTAAATATTTAGTTTGTAAAATAATATTATTTTTCTTAACAAGCTAAATATTTTGTTTTAAAACAAATATTTATTTAACAAGCTAAATATTTGATTTGCAAATAAAGTATTCAGCTAGCACCATGTTAAATATCTAACAAACTAAATATTTAGCTAGCATCAATATTTATTTAACAAACTGAATATTTAGTTTTAAGACAAATATTTATTTAACAAGCTAAATATTTGATTTGCAAATAAAGTATTCAGCTAGCACCATGCTAAATATCTAACAAACTAAATATTTAGCTAGTAACAATATTTATTTAACAAACTGAATATTTAGCTAGCATCACGCTAAATATTTAACAAACTAAATATTTAGCTAGCAACAATATTTATTTAACAAGCTAAATATTTGATTTGCAAATAAAGTATTCAGCTAGCACCATGCTAAATATTTAACAAACTAAATATTTAGCTAGCATCAATATTTATTTAACAAACTGAATATTTAGCTAGCATCACGCTAAATATTTAACAAACTAAATATTTAGCTAGCAACAATATTTATTCAACAAACTAAATAAGCGATATATATTTGTTAAAAAGATATTTAGCTTGATGGTAGCTAAATATGTAGTTAGCCTGGTACTAGCTAAATATTTAATAGGCAATTCAAATATTTAGTTTACTAAATATTTATTTTTTAAACTAATTATTTAGCTTTAAATATTAAGCTTTCTGACAATTATTTTTTTTATCTGACTAACAATGAACTAATATGTAGTTCAGAACTTACTTTCTAACAATCAATGAATGACATCGTGAAAAAATTGCTTGGAAAAAATAACTTCCTTACTTTTCTCTTAAAAAATGCTAAACATCCAAAAATTTTGACAGCTTTAACTTTACAAAAGGCACCCCATATTCTTAGACCGTCTGAACATCACATCCACTGATCTCTGTTTATTCCCTGGATGGCTGATTGATCGTTGGTAGTACGAGGGTGAAGTAAAGCCACCGGCCGCCATATTGGTACTCCCTAGTTAGACCGTCACAATGTAAACAATCTGCGCTACAGCATCGAGCAACCATGATGTTCTCATTTTCAGGGACTGAAGACTTTTAAAATAAAGATAAATTCATCACTTTGACACAGACTGGCTGATTCACAGCATCAGTAGATTAACTTATAATTAATAAATAGGCCCATCACATTGCATAGTTATTATGAAGTCAATGAAGTCTATAAATCATGTAATATAACATATTATACAAATAAATCACAATAAAATTAATGTGTCAATGGAGCAAAATAGTAAAGATGAGCCAAAAGAGCTAAATTGATGATGAACATGTATTATACATGGATTTATTACATTGTTACAGCAATTACATTACATTAAAGGCATTTTTATGGCGCAAACACCATGAGAGTGGGGAGTACCAAGATGGCGGCAGGTGACTTCAGTTTTTTCCGTCTACCAGCAATCCAGTGAATACATAGAGATCAGCGGTCACATTAAAGGTATAGAGGACGATCTTTTATTTCCAGGTGGATCACCCAAATAAGTGGACATCATGTCACAGCGGCCCGCTGTTGCCATAGGCTGCCGCTAACCAAAACAGACGACTAAAAGCAAAGATGGCGCAGGCACTGCGCAGTGGAGGCGGAGTCACATGACCAACAGGAAGCAAAAAGCAGTGATCATCTTTCCAAATGGTCAGTTCACTATAAAGCACTATAAAGAAGCTGCTAAGTAGCGATGCTAACCCAGATGCTAACCTCAGCTTTTTAACATTGGGACCAAAACATTAACCTGCAAGCCTTCCCTTCAACTTAAAGGTATAGAGGAAGATCTTTTATTTCCGGGTGGATCATCTCAATCAGTGGTCCTCCTAACTGTCAATCATTCTGGTAATCTGTTTACGTAAGGCCGTCGTACGCGCTCGTCCTCCGTTAGCTTTTTCTGCGTTCTTTGAAAATGGCTGAGGGTCGGAAGAGAAAAAGTGTCTGCGAAGTGCATGAGAAGAGAAGAAAGGCCTCAGAAGAGGCAGATATATCCCAGAATGCTTTGCACAGAGAGCTCTCCTCGCAAAGCATTATGGGATTTGCTGTCGCCAACTGACAGCGGCGACTATTAACAAAGATGGCAGTGGGGGCGGAGTCACGTGACCAACGTGGAGCAAAAAGCAGTGATCATCTGTCCAGTTGGTCAGTTGACTGAGTTCACTAAATAGTTTGCTCTTTATATAAAACAGCAACTTTTAAACTCGCAGCCTAATTAATTTTTTTAAAGAAACATGGCTCCTGCTCTGGGCTCCTCTTACATGCAGGGCGGGGGAGGCTCCTCTTTGCTGATTGGTGGGTTTATCAGCCAATCAGAGGGCTACCTCATCCCTGCCTTTCTGCTCTCTTTCTACCACGTTTTTCCTTCCACCAAACTTTCCATTAAAGTTGACTATTTATGTAAAAAACAGACTTTTAATAAAGAAAAGTGGGAAATTCTTCTTATTTCTATCGAAACCTTAATTTTCGGAATGAAATCCAGCTGATGGGAGAGAACCTATCAGAGTGACGGAGCAAACAGCTGGATAAACAGACCTGCAGCTCCAGGCCTGATGCCTTCCTAACCCTCCCGGACAGAACCTGCGCTGGATCCGAACCCACCCTGCTCCTCCTGCTGCTCCTCCTGCTGCTCCTCCCTGCAGCTCAGACAAAGGATGCATGCAGCTCCTCACCTCTGATCGGCTCTCTAATGGCGGAGCTCCGCAGGCCTCACCGGCTCCATCCTACTCCTCCAGGCGGGCTGGGAGCGCTCCAGATCCGGGGAAGGGGAGCTGCTGTCAGCCTAACCCTTCCGTTCCGGCCTGCTTCCTGCTGCAGGGAGAGAACTGCCAGCGGCCCGGGAAGGCATCACAGCAGGGCCTGGATGAAGGATCCACGGTGGGAAAACATCGGGATGAAGCCCACCCTCCTCCTCCTGCTCCTGCTGCTCCTCCCCCCGGGTTCCTAACCTGCGGGCCGCGGGCTCTGCGGGGCCGCGCTGCTCGCTCTGAGGGCCCCTGGTTTGTCTGACATGTTGGATTTACTGCAGGTGAAACATTTCATTACTGGAATCACAAACATTCAGGTAACAGAAAAATACATTTCAAATGGAAAATTCTATGGAGCGCCAAAGTTCAACAGTCCTCAATTAGGAGCAAAATTTATGGTTAATTAGCGCATTTTAGGAGAGAAATAAGGCAGTTATTTTCCCTATGTGATCCATTCGTTTATAGAAATCTTACTTTGTTAAATAAATATTTAGCTCCAAACTAAATATTTACTTTGCTAATTTTTAAATATTTAGCTTGTTTTAATAAATATTTAGCTCCAAATTAAACATTTAGTTTGTTAAATATTTAACAAACAAAATATTTTCTTTGTTAAATAAACATGAAGCTACAAATAAAATATAAAGCAGCCGGTGCTATGGCAACACAGCGATGCCCCATGGGCGTGGCTGTAGCTCTGCTAGTGCAGGTCAGCATTAAAGATTTGCCCGTTTCCTAAAACGGATGTAAACACTCAAACAAAACTGTTTCAAAGAGGACCTTCAGTTTTTTCCTGGTGATTTCCTGTCAGTGTGACAAAGACGTCGTAGGAGTCCTATAGAGATTCCCGGGCTTTTATTTTGGATTAGGTGTCCATGCCTGAAACTATTGAACGTTCTTCTATTCGTTTCCAGTCACACGTCACTTTTGGCAGAACCTACATATTTGGGTAAGTAACAAAATAGATAATATAACACATTTTGGGATACATTAAATAGTACCTTAGACATTTAAAGGGAAAAATAAAAAACCCTTTTAACAGGTTTCAAAAACAAACTCAAAATCTTCTATTCATCTTTATGTCATTATCAATCTGTTTATTGTCAACCATAAATTACATTGTAATTGAGATTTCAGTTCAGTACAAACCGTTCGTTTTCCGATGATCGGTTTGACGAAATAAACTAGAAAAACATTTGCCAAAAATATCCCAGATTATATTACTAACTGTAGTTCTTCTTTCCACCAGTAGGTGGAGACACGTTCACACGAAGCTTCATGAACTGTTTGGATCGTTGAAGCAATTAGGTCAAACGGTTCCATGAGGCTTCATCTCACCATCGCTACTAACCGCTAATGTGGCTAGTTCTACTACGACGGAGTATTAGGGCCAGGCTACAGACTTTTCTATTTAAGGAATAAAGTCGTAACATTACCAGCATAAAGTCGTAAAATTACAAGAAC